AAAAAGCGGACTGTAAAGTTCATACACATAACTACGCGCGCGCGCGCGCGAGCGACTACGCGTATCGCCGGACGCAGTCGTGCGTTTTCTCGAGCCGAGATGATTTTCTGCGGTCGGTGCTTTCGTTTCGACTGGTCGCGGTGCTTTTTCTTCGGCCTGCTCCTTGCTCGCCGTGCCATGCCGCGCTGTCGATGGCCTCTCCTACTCGTATGCCATCGTATACCGGGTGTTCCTTCGAGTCGCGACCATCGCCGGACTTGAAACGCGATTCCTCGTGTTATTCGATCCGAGATGCGTTTCATTTAAGGCTCTTGAATCATCGCATCTTTGTTGTTCATCAAATATATTCAAGGACAAATAATACTTGCGAGTATTTCAAATGCCCATGTGGAATCTACCCTCCCCTCCCCAGTTCTTTCTACTTGACGCTTTGATCTACGCCGAATGTCAACTCTCCCACGTTTTCTCTCGGTCTACGAATTTTCAAGGCAACCCCGGTGTGCTCGTTGTCTTTTAGCGGATACCGCGCACGTATTTCCGGAAGCACGGCGAGAGACACCCGCTGACATTTACGTGAGGAAAACGCGGAGCGGCTACGCGACAAAAGCGACGTTGACGTTGACGTCGGGCACAAGGCAAGGATAATGATATTACGGCTTAAAGAGACGGCTTAACCTAACCGTTAGTTTATTGGCGTGAAGGAGTCGCGGAGCGTGTCTACATCAAAGCGGCCGCTTCCGAGCTCCACTTTGCCCTGCCCCATTCGCCGCCGCCACCACCGCCGCCGCCGCCGCCGTCGCCGCCGTCGTCATCGTCGTCGCCACCGCCGTCGACGTCTCCTCCGACCATCACTACCACCACCACCAAGCTGCTTCTGTCTGTTTCACCGAACTACGTATGCACCCTCGACAGAACGCGCAACCCGTGTAGCTGTACCGTGTCGTCTATTAACACCTATTAACATCTGAAACGGGACACGGCAACTGGCACAGCCATAGATAAAGGTCCAGCACCGAGACGCGAATATCGCGACGACGATGTGGTTATTTGTTGACAAATCGCGCACTTCGGAATGAAGGAGAATGTCTGGCCCCATCGACATATATTATATTGGTCGGAGCATGTGACGAAATTTTTTTGATCCTCCGTCTCTTGACAAATCTAGAAGAGAGAAGTAAATGTACGTTTATGGATCTTTTTAGATTTTTTTTATTGGTTGAATTTTTATATT